CTGAACTGTGTAGAAAATTTCATCGCGATTGGACTCTCCTTTCAAAAGTTATCGTGTAAACGGACGGACGGCCGGCCGGACGGCCGGACACACTGACCGATTCTAGAAGTGTACTCACTTTTTGAGTACACAAAAAGATAATTCTGTTAAATCAATGCCAGAAAAAAACGCCTGACAAAAGTGAAATTTTCACCAAACTTTCATCAACAAAGACTTAAAATCAACTCAGTTTCATTCGAAGAATTTCTAAAAATCAAGAGGGCATGAGCAGAAATATGAAGTTTTGATTCCGTTTCAATCTTGTTCAGAAATTCAAGTGAAGCAGTTGTTTAAAAAGCACGTGAAAACGTATTTAACCAATAGTCACAATTTATGGTTAATCTAGTGCAGTTATTCTTTTACTTTTTGTTTCATTTTTCTATTTAGTGTAGTGTCGTATTAGAGCAGCAGTTTTCACTAACTATAAGTTACAATGTTCTAAAATAAAATTTTCATGAGAAAGGAATTGAATAAGATTTTCGGAGTCATTGTGTATTCGCATCAACCCCGACTCCAGCTCCGAAAAAAAAGATTCATCCCAATTCCGAATCTGACTCCGATTTTGGAGTTCGTTGCTAGTCTCTAATGTTCGCCAATATGATTCTTCAAATGCAGTTTCGTCGAGCCAAACTGTCATTGTATAAGCCGTAACTTGGAAGAAAAATTTAGTTTCTCGTCGTAGATCATATATCCCATCTTTTTCTTTCATAGTCATCAAAATAACTACTATAATTGTTTTCGATGAGAAAAGTAAGACTACGAAGATACAGTAAATATTTCTTGAGTAGTAGAAAATTCTGTAAACTGGATGTATCTATTTTGAGATGTTCCATGTAAGGAAAGCACTTGGCAATAGTAATAATATCATCTTCTTCGCTAAATCAATGCTTATAAATAGATATGTTAAGATCTTTTACACAATTCATTTTTCCAATGAAAGCATTCTTGTTAGTCTGAAGTAGACTTAAGCTAATATAAAGTGAATTCATATTTGTGAGAGATGTCAGCAGTGTATTTAATTCGATAGTCATTTTTTGCGAGCGTCTAATAGCGACTTGCCTAATATTAGAACATTTTACATGTGTGTGGAACCAGTTGAATAGAGCACTATCCATGTTATTCACCATTAGACACTTCACATTATCAAAGTAGTAAGAACATGACACAAGACTGTTTATGTCATCAAGTTTGAAATTTATGCTTTTATTTACTATCATAAGATCATTATTATTAGTGTGATTGGGTGCTGTCCAACACTGAATAACAGGCCAATCAAATTCATGTCGAACATGAGATTTGGTTTCATCTATACCGAAACCAATAGAGTCCCAATGTTCATGTTCTGTTATCATTAGATTAAAGTTTTGTTTTGATACTCAATATGAGTTTTGAAACGACAAAAGCACATTACGGAGTCCAATTTCTTCGACACAAGATGAAGTCGTTCGAAGAGTAAAATGAGTTAATAATGGTAACGATGTTTCCAACAGCATCTTCCATGCATTTGCATCAAGAAGTTCACTGTGTGCTTTGATCTCAAGATATTTTAAAACAGGCATTGAATTCAAATATTGTCTTAACATACCCATCGTGATTGAACTGCGTGTTTCAAAATATAAGACTAATGTACGAAGTGTCGGCATTACTGCAGCATCCTGTTTTGAACAATTTTCTTCACCAAAAAATGAAAATGCACCACCGACTATTTCAGCATCAAAATATCTAAGACGAGGCGAACACTGGAAAATATATTGTAGATCTTGAAATTTACAATTAATACCAGAAATAGTCAAATGTTCTATATTTGAGAAGATCTTTGCTAAAGCATTCCAGTTTATACGTTTGAAATTGCCAAAAAGAGCAAACCTTTTTAACGATTTTAATCCCAAAAGACATACAATAGTATTTCCCACTGAGGATCTATCTTCTTTGATTGTTAAAGTGTCGATAGTCGTTTGTGATAAAGAATAAAGAGCATTTTCAACAATGCTGCAATCGAGAGCATTATCATTAAAATGAAAGTAAAGTTTTCGAAGTCGTTTAAATAATGCAAACGATGGGAAAAAAGAGAGAAAAGCATGAACTTGACCAGGTGTATCTTGTTCTGATATGGCTAATTCTTCTATTTTATCGATATAGGCTGGTAAAAGGCCTATACACAAGCAAAAATCATCTTTATGTCATTGAATAAAATCAAAACGAAGTCGTTGACATTGAGTAATGAGTAAATCAAATCGTTTATTGAATTGAAAGCTAAAAGCTCTAAGTAGATCTATACCATTAATATATTTCTCAATAATATCAGTTAATATTTCATTAGGAAGTGATTCAAATTTAGAGAGTGACATCTATGTGAAGAAAATAATAGTAAGAGTCGGTAAGTTATGATGAAATGCTGTTGAAATGGCGTCGCATTGATTCAGTATTTTTCTTTTAACAAAATAAAAAGTTGTGAGAACGAGAAAAAAAACGTTCTTTTTTTAAGGCGATGGTGAATATTTAGATGACGAATTGTCCTCTCTCTTTTTTTGACAGAGTGCACCTTAGTTTGCTTGTGTTTCTACATGAGAAAACATTTTATTGGTATCCACGAACCATGAAGAACATTTCTAAGTTAGTCATTCTAATATTTGTAAATGGATGCATTTGTCATGCAAACATCGAAAAATAAATGAGTCATATGGAAAAAAAGTTTTCCTCTATATGGCTGATTGTATGATAGTACTTCTGAGTGAACTCATAGTTGATTGAGCAGTATTATTTTATCCGAAATATGAATATATTCACGACGAAATTAATAATGGAACTCGAAATGAGATTCTTTTTTTTAATCCTTCTCGACCGAGCTTTCACCAATTTGGTTTTCTTCATGTATGGATTTTGTGTGTTGTACAGTGATTCGAATGAGTACAAACATATCTACAAATAGATCGAGCATTTTTCTAGTACAATTATATATTTGCATTCAATTTTCTTGATAATTCATCATCTACTTGAATGAAAACATTTTATTTTATCGACATTGATATTATCAACTTTCTTAAACAAAAAATGCGCTCCTCAATATTTTAATAACATTTACTTTAATACATGTTTGTTCAAACCTAATATTTTTATGAATCTATGAACCTCTTATATCTGTACAAAACAGTATATTTGGGTGTGGGTATGGATGTAGATAGTAGTCTGGTCCAGACACACACCCTACACCCACACTCGTAATACAAAATAATGTTAAAAAAGTCATACTAAAATCTTTAAAATGTGCATGTTTATCAAGTCCAGTACATAGACGTTCTTCACTACATTCTAATTTTCCAAATAATCCACAACACCAAGTGCAGAATATATGAAGAAAAGAAGAAAAAGTAAAAGACCCTTTATAAAAATAAATAAATTATTATTATTATTATTATATTAATTAATAAGATAATATTTTTTTTCACCAAATTTCCAACTTCTGGAAGAGCTTGAATAACTGTATCTAATAATGCTCGAATAACTTTTGCCATTTTTAATAATTTAAGTACTACACAATTAAATTATTTTATTTAACAATTAATTCAACTTTTCGTTTAGATATTTGTTTTTTTTTTCAAAAATTCATAACAAAGAATTTTCTGCAATGTTTAAATATATTTTAATAATAAATATCTTCAATTATTTTATTGTAATTATCTAACATTCTTCTCTCAACTCAAATCTTTATTTTAGATGGTTGACATGAAATTTCAATAATTCATCATTTTTTTTCATAACTATTTACTTCACATATCTGTAATGATGTTAAACATATAAAAAACTTAGTATAATATACTGTTTACTTGTCAAATGTCCTTTATGGTTTCTTCGAGGAGTAAGCAAGTTAAGATTCAACCTTGAAGTCTTGAAAAAAATTTTCTAAAAATTTGAAATCTCTATGCTTGAAGTTCGCTGTTTTCCCTTCGAATTTCCTTATTTGTTACAAAGGAAGTTGTTTTTTTTTCTTGTTGTTGTAAATGTATTCGTTATGTATTTATCAATTAAAATAAAAGAGTAGGAAATTTTCAAAATTTGATCAAATAGAATGTAAGAGAAATGATGAAATCTTCTCTAGTTTATGTAACAAGGGTGTGGGTGTGTATTTGAGTATGGATATATTGCTCACCTACACCCACACCCACACACACCGACACCCTCCATCTGCACTATTGTCCTCTGTGAGAACTTGACGATGCACACAGGCCTCTGTGTGATATTGATTAGAACCATGAAGAATTGGTTGCCTGCTAAGCTTAATTTGACGATTAATGCTCATGATTGTTCCGAAGTTAATAACGACAGTAAGGACATCATCCTCTTTTGTAAAATGACTTCAGAAAGGCAATTAGTTTCTGAAAAGTATCCCACCGATTGTTGGATCACTTATGTAGTGTGATACAAGAATGAGACATAAGATCGACATTACACAAACTTGTGTAAAGTTGACTAGAGCTGTACAGCTCACGCTCATGAGCGTGAACGTTTTCTGACTTAAAGAAAGTACGAGTGTCTCTGATCACTTTTTTCAACTTTGTTCCTCGAAAATCGATATTCATGATTTTTGTGCCTGGGGTCCCCCTCAGGTATCATGAAAAAAAAAATTTTTTTTTTCACGAGTCGAAATCAGATGTAACAATAGATTGAGAGATGCTGGTTAAGAATATCACAATGAGAGCTCTCAAAATCTTTTTATTCTTGGGATAGTCCTAACAACTCTATGCACCATATGCCTCATTATTAGGGTACTCATAGAATATTTATTCACTTAAATTTAGCCAGAAACATCTTTCTTACCTAAAATCCCGAGTTCTCTATGGTTCTGAGTTTGTTACGCCAAAAAAAAAACATAATTTTTGGAAAAAAACGGTCATTCCAGTGTCAAAATGGACCTTTTTTAAATACATAGAATTTTCTTCTGACAACTTTTTGGGAAGACACCGTTATCATAACATGAAATTTTGACCATTAGACTAATTTTTCAAGCTCTAGCGGTTGGCAGCCATAAAAATAATTGAAAATGTCTAAACCTCCATCAGAATAAAAAGGCATGGCCTTCTATTATGTCCCAGTGAATCGGTCGTTTTTTGGTGGCGTTATATTATGTCTTGTCGGAATTTTTTCGCATTTTTCCTTGAAATTGGTATGGCATTATATTATGTCCAGAGAATCAAACGGTCCGGGGTGGCCTTCTCTTCCGGGTGCCTTTCTATTATAGGGTGGCGTTCAATTTTGAGGGTGGGGGGTTATATCATGGTCAAAAACTCTAAATTGTGATAAGATTCGCCTTTTCCCACTAGATTTGTCTATATATGTTTAATATTTAGCATGAAAACAGTTTTCCTTGGGCGTCAAACCCGAAGGATACATCTCGCTTTTCAAGTTCTATCGATTTGTAGTCGTGCAGAACTAGAAAAGAGGTATAGCACGGTGAGAAGTGCGAAATATACTCAAATTTGACATTTCTTCTGAGTTCGGCTATAATGGGTTAGTTTTCAGTATCAAAGTAGGGTTGTTGGAGCACCATATTCGAATTGAATTAGTAATTGTCTAAGCTCTCTTGATTGGCAGCCTGAAAGATAAAAAAACAGGGTACACCTGTGACCTATGTCGGAAGTCTAAAAGATTCTCATCAGCTTTTACTGCATGCATGTCCATCTATGTTTTTCTGATTTTGAACGTGAAGAGAAACAAGCTAGGGGCTTGAATTCGTATAATACTGATTTCATTATGATGTTCTGTCAACAGAAAGCCTTATCTGGAGAGAAATAGTATCGGAAGATGACATCACCATGTCATATGCCTGAAGAAAAATAAGATGACATCACCATGTCATATGCCTGAAGAAAAATAAGATGACCTCTTTGTTAAGTTGCTTGATTAGTACATTAAATTACATGTTACTCGTGACAGGTCGTCATTGTTGTTTCTTGTTATCATTGGCATATCTCAAACATGAGTACCTTTTTGAAAATTCACTCTAACTAAGCCAATCAGTGAAACACCATTAGGGTTTTACATATTAATTAAAATTTTCTCTCCGAAACTAATATCCATTTCAATGAACAGTGCAGTCGGTTGTAAGTTGAATA